GGCAGCGCCTGCCGCCGCGCCGGGCGGGCTCCGCGTGCGGCGCAGGCCAGAGCAGGACAGGTCGCCGCTTCGGAACAGGCAGCGAACGGAGTGACTCCTGACTCGATCGAGTGAGGACAGCTTCGTGCGTCCGTTTTAATCTAGAACTCTTAAAGTGAATTTCCCTTTAAATTCTCCTTTTCATTTGTTTTTTAATGGATCGGTCAATCCCATATTTGTTTCCTGTTTGGCAACTCCAGTTTGCATTTTTTTTTTGTTAAACTTGAACTTCCAAATACCTTATTCTGTTGCAGTATTTTTGCCCAGTTTCTCAATGGAACAGTAAAAATCCAGCCCGAGCGGGAGCCGGGCGCTGCTGCTTCCGCGGGCTGTGGGTGCTCCCGTTCCCACGGTGGGATGGACACAAAAACACTTTTCTGCTTGCTTGGTGCTACTCATGTAAATATAATATAAGGTGTGCGTGCTTAGTAGTTCCGTTTAAATCGATGATGCTAATAACACGTGTGCGACTAAGCAGGTGGGGAAGTAATAGAATTCATTTAGCTTTGCTTTAAAAGTCTTCACAGTGTAGTTTAGCCAGTTTGCTGCTGTGTGTATATTCAGGGAATGGCTTGAAGGAATTGGTGGAATTTAATATAATTTTAACATATGCGATTAATATCTTAGCTAAATCTTTAAAAAAACCCCTAGAAATCAATGACTTAAGAACAGCTTTGAGTATAAAACAGAAAAGGAGATCAGAATTTATTCTTAAACCATTTTTTTCTCTTATACTTCAGGCTATTGTTAATACCAAGCAGGATTGGTATCTTAAGTATGGGAATGTTGATTTGTTTCAAGTCAAAGTCTTACTTAATTTTCCTTCCTGTAGTATAAAAATAATTAACTATGAAAAAGAACAGAGATTAAGACCAATATAAAATCTGATCTCCTTTAAAAGCCATATTTGCGAAGTTTAAGGGCTGCCTTCCTCTGCAGGATGGCTTCTGTAAATTCTGGACAGTGAACTGCTTCACTAATAGTTTTATATGACGTGGGTATGACAGGCACATTCCCGCTGTATCAAAGCTCTTAATCCCTCTTTTGCAAGGTGTGGACCAGTAAACACTGGTCTCTCACCTCCCAGATAAGTGATCTGCTCAACTAGGCTAGATGATAGTCTGAATTGCATTCAATTAATTAAATATTCATTAGAATAAATACTGCAGTTCCAGGCTTCCTCTACTCTCATAAGTACACGAACAATTTGATCATAGACTCAAATGCTGTCTCTGCTCTATGAAGTATGTTTAATTTTCAACATCTGTTTTAGTCACTGAATCATTAAGTCGTGCTGATGAAAAACAATTTCTTGCTGAAGTGTTGTGCTGGATTAGACTTTAAAGACAAGAGGGTGTAGTTCAGATCAGGCTTTGTGTGGGTTGCAGTTTTAATGGTGGAGAGGGAAGGTGCTTAATAAAGATTATTAGGAAGTTATTAAAGAAGAAAACGGTAACAAGGAAGTCAGCTGGGAGTAGACAGAAATTGCACACTTGGTGCTGAATGGGAGTTGTCAGAAAGAGGTGCTGGGAAGAGTGTTGGAAATTTGCAAAGAGTTGCAACGTGAAGCAGTACAATTCTTGTTTTGATTCAATTGCCCTTTGTGCAGATCACGTATAGCTGTATAAACTGAATAATGTAACGATACCTAACTCGCATAGATGTTTTAACTTAACACTAGAATTTTCAGTTAATGACAGCCTACAGCTGTAGTTTAAGCTTCTTACTGTTGATAAGGCAAAGGGCTATCTTTGAGCAATATTTAATTTACTTCTGCAGAGCTTTTGTAGATTAATGATAACAAACGTCTACATCACTGTTGATATGCTGTCTTACTATTTAGTCACATATTTGGTGTGTTCTGTTGTGTTTATCTATGTTTTTAATAAGCTAGAGGGAGGGAAAATTTGAAACTGGTGTGTGCATATAGTTCATGTGACTGTATTTTTTTGGTGGTTCAGGATTCAGTTTTCTTTACTTTTTCGGTACAACTTTGTTTTATCCTTGATGTAGAAGCCAAATGCTACTCCCAGACATGGTAAGCTTTAGCTGGAGTAGTTCATGGCAAATTTTGTTCTCGTCTGCTTGATCTAAAGGAAGAACGCTGTTTAGAATAAATTCTCTTCCAGTATGGCTTACATGTGTGAACCCTTTCACTGTGGTCATGAAAAAATAATATATGAAATGGCACACACAAGATGTCTGCTGTCAGTGCAGAGGGCAAAACCTGAAAGCTTTCGTAGGAGTTGTCTATCCATGTGAGAAATTTTGTGAGTAAGATCTTTTCATGGCTGGGCTGAGTTCTGTGAAGTTCCCAGGGCTCTCGCCTCCCGTTGTGAAAATAGTATAATATTAACCAGCCTGTGAGATTTGTATTGTTTGAAACAGCCCTCAAATGTAGCCTGTCATTTCTGTATTTCAGCTGCCAAATGTAATTCATAAATTCTGATTAGATGACTGGATTGCTTGTAATTAACAAGACAATATGTTATGGATAAAATGGTTTGATACAGATGAAATTCTCACGTTAATCGCTTTTTGTCTGAAGCTAAGGGAAACTTGTTGAAATAAAAGTTAGCGTACTGATTGGTTTTTCATAAAATTTGCACACAATAACTGGATAAATCTATCAAACGCTTATTTTAAAATTTTAAAATCTTATTTCAAGATCCTAAAGACTAGCAAAAATCATTATGAAAGTGTTAGCATACACCTTTTGAAGTTACTCTTATAAACGTAGACCCAGAACTACCGATCATGTCATTACAAATCCCAAACCCAGTCGTGCCACAGAAATCCATAACAGCACTGGGCTCTCCCTGTTAAAATCCCACCCTCCCCTTCCTTCTCCCAGTTACAAAATGTTCCATCTCCGAAGTGTTGTAGGAGATTATAGAGAGTAGCCTGAGCTGTGCCCTTTGGGATTGATGGAAAAATCTGTAATAACCCGAGGTCGCCTTCCATCGCAGCGTGCCTCCTGCAGCACACTCGCGCTGCCGAGGGAACAGCTCCAGAGGCCTTGGGGAAGGCATCCCCTCGTGCAGAGCAAGGAACTGCGGGTGGGTAGTTCGGGCTGGCACAGTCATGGGGTTTCTGGCTTCTCGGTCCCCTCCCAGCCTGTGCAAGTCCAGCCTGCTTGGCTGGTATGGGAGGGAGGGCAGGCAAATCCGTGTTTGTGATGGAGCGAGGGAAATGTATCTGCATCAAAGTTCTTTGGAAATGAAAGAGTTTGGGTATCTTAAAAATGAGCATAATTTTATCCAAGCAAAACATTCCTAGGTTCTGTATAATATTCCGCATTAGATTAGACCGTCCTTTTGAATATTATAAAAGTGTATTTCAACATAAAATGCTCTAGTCTTCTCAGTTCTGAGTGTATTCCTCTGAGAACACATAGGTAACTAGATAAAATAATTTTACACGTTATCCTCTCTAAACTAGACAGTGCAAGTTACGTATTCCACAGCCCTGTGGCAGCATGTTTTAGTTCAGGCAGGTTTGTCCAGCTTTTCAGTAAATTGAAAATGTGTTTCTTAATTTCACGCACAATGCTCATCTTGTTTTCATACAATGGTAGTCAGCTCTGAATAGGAACAATTACAGCTCTGCCATGGTGCTCGTATTGTCGTAGCACCGGAGTTCTCCAGGGCGGACAGAGCCAGTGGTGCGAGCTCAGCGCGAAGCTCGGAGCTGCCTCGCCTGGGTCAGAGGGGTGCTGGGAGTCAGTGGTGTGCCTGCTGTGATACTGGTGAGAAGGAAATACCAGTGGGCGTTCATTTTTTAGGTATTTTACTTTTTAGTTCAAATTCTGTAGGTGTCAGAGTGATATAGGAATTGGGCTGTATGTTCTAGACCTCCATATTGTCTCTTCTCAGTGTTATGTCCCGATACAGAGAGTTCTGTTGGCGTCGGTGGGTTCCCTTCCTTGACGGACCTACCTCAAGTACACGGTGTGTGTGTGTGAGGAGTAAGCGGCTTTCTGAGTTTTCTGCAGCAGTAACAATTTTGAGATTTCTTAATTACAATGATTGCTGCTAAAACAGTTTCTTTTCTACTTTGATTTCTCTTTCCTGGTGCTGTTATGATTCACTCTTGGGAGATTTGGAAAACCGCTTCAGGCTTCCTAAACTTATGCAACAGTTCACAGCTGGAAATCTGACCTACTTCTTCCCCAGTTAAGAATGTCTCTGAGACTAAGCTGCAGCGATATGGGCTTCCCAAGCCCTGCCCACGGGTTAAGGAAAGAAATGATTTGTTATGAAAATTGGAAGTTTGTACTGTGAGGAAGAATAAATAGTATGCTGTAAACTAACAAATTGCCCAGTCCTTAGATTAGATTCAGTGGGAATTTTGGTTACTTGGATTAAGAACTGGACGTGGAGACTTCAAGCAATGTGTACAATTTGTTATAACTGGTCGTGGTCCACAAAATGGAAGACAGTGTCTGCAATTGCTTGTAGGCAGTGCTGGGGAAAAAAGTGAAAGAATCTATTTGGAAATGAACAAAACTGCTGCCACTTACGGATTTCTGTAATTTAAAAAGGCATATTTCATTTTTCATTCAAGAATGTGCAAATGTGCCATGTGGGCATCTTTTTTCATAGGTGTCAGTTACGGAGTTTTGTGAAAGCTTTTTGACACAATTGCCACTGCTTGGTGCATTGGATAGTGACCTGATGTGGTTTGTCAGCAGTTCCGCTGCTCCTTTCATTTCGGTGTTTAAGCAAAATACAGATTTTCTTCCCTTGCTGAAACAAACAGTGTTTTAGATTTACATCCATTTACACCAGCTGACCTTGATACGTAACGTGAAAGACCGTAAGTAAAAGACAGTGTCTGTGGAACAGGGACATATGTCAGCTGTGATTTGTATCCTGTTCTCTAGGCACTTACAGAAAATAAGGACTAATTCCCTCAGACCTGCAAAGAGGTGATTGAGAAAAAACAAACTCTTAAAACCAAGAGTAACAGATTGCGTACTGCCACGCTGTGTATGGGGTATTTCCTTTGGGATGGAAAGGCTCTGGCTTTAAAACACTTCTAGGTGATTTTGGCCAGTGGATCTTAATATGTTTATAGCTGATGACCATATCCAGATTAATTTGGGAATCCATGAAAGCCTGAGCTCTGAATATAAAAGGTTTTAGAGATTAAAGTCCAGTAATTACTGAAACTAACTTTCTTCCCTGCAGGGCACTGTTCGAAGGATTATTATCGAGAATCCTGATCAGGTAGGAAAACTGTTTAGTGCTGGAGTTCTGCTTGTGTAACTCTTCCTCCATTAATTATTTTGATTCAGTAAGGTGCTCAGCTGCCTCCATCAGGGGACGCTAAATGTTTTGAAATCACATGGCCCATACTTCTGATAGCGAGAGATGAAATTATTAGGGATTGAAAATACTACAGAATTGCCAGTCAGGCTTCCCACCTCTCAGCAGTGGAGTCTCTATTAATATGCTTCAATAGTATCGCTAGTGGAGATGAATTCCTAACTGTTTCTACTACGCTTATTTCAAATACTGTCTAGATGGAAGCACAGTCACTTTGTTTCCAAATGGACATACATTCAAATGTATGTATCTTAAAGAACTATCTCTAAGTATATGTGTCTTCAAATTACAAAAATCCCTTATCGTTTTTTAGTCAAAATTAACACTAACTCTGAATTTGCTGTTTGACAACATTTATGAATGTTTTTATTAAAATGTTTTACAGGAGCCATTATCCCCATTTCTTAGAGGGGGGAATTTCTGTCCTGGAAATAATGTCATCTATGAAAAGACAATAAGAAAATACGAGCTATTAAATCCCCACCAAGTAAGTTGGTTTTTTATATCATCTGTTGCGAAAGAAAACTCAGATGGTAGCAGAAAAGTAATGTTCCTGGGTTGGGTTTTTTTTGTTGGTAACTACTGCCAACATGAGAGTTGCCTTGTTGAATTATAGGACACATTCTCAAAGTAAATGAAACTTTCTGTATGGAAGGAGAGCAGAAGTTGGAAGGTTTGCTGTATTTTTACTAAGAATTTATTATTTGAGACTAATAGTGAAAACTGCTGTTATGTCTCTAGCACTGTCAGTCTTTATCTGAATACTGACTGAGAATTAATTTCTTGCCGTAGCTCCACAACAGAATAACCAATACGAATTTTTACACAAAATGAATTGAAAAGACAAATTTTAGCTTTTTTTTTTTTTTCTTTTTTTTTTTTAGTGATTCTTGAAAAAATATATTTGGTAAAGCTGTCTGAAGTTTCAGCTGAGAATTGGTGTTTTGGCAAAAATATTACTTGCTTTTTTATTGCTCTGAAATACTGTTATTTTCAACAGCAAAAATTTTGAAATAAAGGCTATTTCAGAGTGATTAGTCTTACCGGTTTGGTTTTTTTGTTTGTCTGTTTGTCTTTAACTTAAGTTTTCATTCCATTCTGGATTTTAGATAAATTAGGTGTGATAGGGGAAGTGGAAAGGGAAAAAATCTGACGTAATGATGAATAATAGCTTTTTTCTTCCCACAGAATAATGAAGTGTGGAGTCTAATCCTTGTAACCATATTTCTACTTCTGGTTTTTTGTTACCCAGGGTGTATCTAGATTTACATCAAATCAGGAGTGTAGTTTTGAAGAAAATTTCCAGTCTCCTATGACATATTGCTCTTTATTTTACACTGCACCGTGGTCTTGGACCATGCAAACTAGATTTCTTTCAGGTGAACTTGAAACATGTCAGAAGAGTGCACCCAGTGTGCTACAACTGCTAATGGGTGTGTAGCCCATTCAAAACCCGATGTAAAACCTCCTCAGATACGTAGAATGTCAGTATTGGGTCCTCACTCTGCTCCTCTTGCATCACTGCGTGATGCGGAGGTAATGTATTCTCTGTGTTCTGATTTTGGTGCAGAATTAGATGTTGGTTCAACCTTTTAAATGTAACTGCATTGTGAATTTTAAGTCAAAATGTCCTGAAGCCTAGGATGTGCATTTATATACTTCTACATAGAATACAAAATACATATTTTTTGAAGCAAACTTGTAAAAGCCATGATCTAGAGAAACAATGACGTTTGCTAAAATCGGTAACTTTCAGTGTTTTGACTGGAACATAAACTAGTTTCTAGTTTATTGTTTTGGTGCATGGTTTTGCAAAAAGCACTTTTCTTCATTCTAAAAACAAGACGTGTCCCTTATATATTGTACATTCTGAACCTGGAATTGCTGAAAGCATTTATAGAGGAAAATGTCTTGAGCCGTTTCCTGTACTAAATTTTTTTCTAACTGAAATAATGAAAACTCAGTTCAACTGGAGCTCTTTTTTATTTCTAAAGGACTTAATGAAACAGGACATGCATGTGTTTTAAATTAAATAATGGATGCCCCCGCTGCCTGAGTATGTTAAGAGTAACACCATAATGAAACGTACAACTCAGGAAAGGTGTATCTGTGCTTTTCATTTGCAGCTACTAAAATTTGAGGAGTTGGTGAATTACCTTGAAGTATAAAAGTGTGAGGCAAATTCATGTTCAATTAGGGAAAAAAAAAATTTTACTAGGATTATTAAAATATCTGAAACTGTCATCAGTCTTTCCATGCAAAACCACATCTCTTTCATTTATATATTCATATTAAGCTTCCATCTCATTAAGATGTGTTCAGCAGCTTAAAAAAATTCATTCTTCTTTCTTAGGAGAAGCAATATCAGTTTTCCCACCAATGTCAGATTCCCCAGCAAGCCGATCAGTGCCATGTTGTCCAGCCCTGCCAGCACTCTGAGCAGTCCCAAGTCACTCACCAGTGCCAGCAGACACAGACCAGTAGCCCCTGTGAAATAATTCCAATCTCTGTGAGCGATGACTGCAGAGGAAATACAGTGAGGAGGGTGACGGTTCAAACATGTGAACCGGTAAGAATCGTTTGCTGAATGTTTTACTACTCACAGTGTATTTTTGTTTTGTATGCAGAATACAAAACTTTACAGATATATAAAATTACTAATCCCTGGTCTCAAAAGTTCTTGTTCAAACACATAGTAGGGTTATTAAGCACCATACACCCATTGCAAGTGAACAGCAGAGTTTGTGTCTGTTGCAGGGAACTTCTTTGCATGCTGTGATGGCAGATGTTGTCTAGAACTGTCCAAGACTGTCACATGCTGTTAAGGGGGGAAACAAAAAGCTGTTTTAGGTGGTGTATCCTATTTCTTCTTGGCCTAGACCTGCACTTAATTGTAGTGACTGATCATCATTCTCTTGTCCTTTAAATATGTTAAGTCTTGCTGGTTTGTTTGGGTTTTTTCTTTATCTGGGAGTGTTACCCATTGATCGAGTCAGGTTTCATCTGTCAGTCTCTGTACCACAAAGACTGAGTAGTGTAAGGCTTATGCCTCTAGTTTTGGAGAAAAGATACGTTACTTTATAAACTGGACATACATAAATTCAGGATTGCTTTCTGTCTAAACTGATGGATAAAGATTTCAAATATATTTCAATTTGATGTAGAAGTATTTGACATAGATTCACTGGAAGCACAAAACTAGCTTCCTTCGCCCTTCATTTTACAGCAGGTTGCAAGTTCTGGAGTTTCTAAGGGCTGCAGGAGGCTTGCTATGCTCCTATACTGTTGTTTCAGTTGTGGGAGGGAGTGTAGCAGTCCTTCCTATGCATCTATTCAATATGTAGGTGTCAAGACAAACATACTTGGTGACCTTAGTGTTAGAGCTACGTGGAATCCTCCATAGCCAGACACTCCCATAAACAAACTTACGTACACTCAGTTTGGGTTGCCACTGAAATTCTTTTATTGTTCACGTACGTAAACATTTGAACTGTGGCAATACAAATACCTTTTTTGCAGTGGGGAATCTTGCACCCAGCTGGTTTTATCTGGGTGCTGCCCATAGGTGCTTACCCACTACAGCTATGGAAACGTATATTAATGAAAGATTTCCTAATTCTCAACACTTTCCAAATTAGAATAATGTGATATTGCCGTAGAAGATAATACTTCGTGTATTTCTTCTTGTTGTAAAGGAGGTAATTTATTTCTGTATAGTTAGCAAAAAACCAGAACACATGGAAGACTCTGTAACAAAGAAAAGAACAGTGTAAACAAATTGCAAATTAGTAAGCACAAACAAAACCAAATCCGTTATACTTGTAGCATTTTTGTGTTCAGCTTTCATCCCAAAGAAGGGAACTCAATTATGATCTTTGTGCGTATCTTCTCCTAGGTGAATTGCTCTCAGGAAAATAACGACCAGCTGGACTGCCGCTACTTTGGTGAGCTCCTCGCTGAACTGAACCGCAAGACCAATGACTTGTACAGTTGTTTACTACAGCATGTGGAAAAGATAGGAGGAAGGTATTGGCATTGTATCTGTTCTATCATTTCAGTATTCCAGAAATCCTAGCATTGTACAGTTGAGAGGACAGTATTGTTTGCAAGTTGGTTTTTGGTTTTTTTTTTTGCCTGACAATTAGAATTGGCTGTGTATTTTACACATTAATCTAATTTGCTGAGTAACTGAGCACATAAAAATGCTGTAAGCCAAGTAAATTTATTGAATCTGATGCTTTTTCAAATTGTTTAGACTGATATCCAGTAAGAATTACGTATCCCACGCTTTTTTGCACATAGAGCAAACAAGTATACTTACAGCATGAACATAAACATATGTTTAATGATACAATTCTGTTGTTACGTCCTGAAGAGGGAAACAATCCAAGTGTCCAAGTTGCCATTTCCTTTGTTCTGTCATGGTGTTATGTTATGTCATCGATTAAAAGGTGGCCATCATAAGGCATAAAGCTCAGTATCTACATGCAAATTAACGTTAAGCATGTACTCTGCAGAGCCCCACAGATTGTCTTTGAAAACAAATGCAGAATCACAGCAGTCAGTAATCTGAGTCCTCACAACGTTCTTACCCTTCCCTCACCATCACCATTGCTTCATTTCTCCCCCCTCGCTCCCGGTCTCGTTTGGTGCTTTCCAAGTTCACTGAAATAAGAAAAGTGGTCCTGTAGCAGGGGAAAAGTGGAATTTAAGCATCACAAAAACCCTGACGCTGCTAAGTAAACACTTCAGGCAGGTCAGTATATTGCAGCATAGTTCTGGGTCAACCATTACCCAGCCAATTAAGAATGTAATTGGGTTAACTGAACATAGTTGGGATAACTGCCCAAAGAAAGAGAGATAGCCAGCCTGGACAGGTATCTGGACTGCTATTAGTATTCCGGTCTCCTCAGATACTTCTACATGGAGTCATATTTAACAACTCGTGTTGCCTGGCACCTTAAAAGGAAGGTAACAGCTCTTCATCTGATACAGAACCTTCCTTGCTCCATATTTTAAAGATAATCTTTTTATAGTTGTGAGTGCGGGTATGAATTCTTAAAGTTCTCAAGAAGCTTTCTGTTAATCGGTCCCTTGGATCTTCTCTGTTTTACAGGAACCATGACATTGAATTTTCGTGTCAGGTAAGCATCAGGCATGCTCGTAGCAAGCTGTTCCCTGACATGTAGTGTTAATAATAATGGTGTGGATCTTCAAGCAAATTAAGCCAAGCCAGTTTAAATGAAGGATGCTGGTCTTTGTTAGTTAATGATTCCTGCTTGTTAATAACATTCAGAGCCTGAAACCTACTGCTAGGCGTGTATTTGCAAATGTGACAATATTGAAAGGAAACTTTAATAATTTGCATTATTCCAGTATGAGAGTCAAATTTTGAAGTGTTTCCTGTTGTGCCAATAGTGGTTTCATTGTAAAACAAACTTACACAGCTACATGTATTTTCACCAGGCATTTGCAAAGGATCTTTCACTCTCTTGCCAGTAAAGCTGCTGTTCAGCTGGTACTGAACATGTACTGCCATGCGCCGCAAGAAGTGAAGAATACTGCCTCTCACAGAAAGGAGAGGAACATAAGTTGACAGAACAGACGTCCTACGTCTACAGAAAGCTCACTTTTGTGAGTCGGGCCATGACAGAATCATCAGTAGCTATCTTATTTTTAAAGGCACTGTGTATATAGCAGAAATATTTGTCTAGAATTAAATTACATGAAGCAATGCCACGTAATCACTGGCAGTATCTCCTGTGACACATTGGTCATCTTTCGTTTACTTACAGTCTGTTCTTTGTTTAGAAGCATGAGATTTGCTTCTGTCAAAAACAGCTGGGAGTTCTGTTTTAGCGTCAGCTGTTATTTCTTGAGAGAGGGTTGTTTTGAATACTGCTTTTAAAATAAATGTTAAACTCAGTGATTTGAATATATGCTTCATGTATCACTTCATCTCAGTTTTTATATGCCACACATATGTAAGACTTTGGAAATTTTCTGGATACACTTTGATCTATTTTCATTCTTATTTGCCTTGTACTAAACATGTTTTTCATAGTAGAGCTGTGTAATTAGTGAAGAAACCACATTGTGATCTACCAGGCAAAATTCTTAACCAAGATGTCTCCCCCTTCCTCCTTTCTTTGCTTAGACTGAAGATATTGAAGATTTAATTCCCAAAGGACTGTCTGAGGCAACAAAGCAGCAGATTCGTTACCTCCTCCAGGTATGTGAGTGGGGTGGAGGGGGTGTGTGGAAGCCTGTAACAACTTGAAACTTAACCATACCAGGGATTTTGTACGTAACTTCACTCTCTGTTGTACTTACTCCTTTTTGTCTAGTGTAAAGGGCACAGAATCATACAGGTGGCTCCAAGTGACATGTTGTGGCAGTTGGTTCCACAGACTACTTGTGTATTTTAAACTGAGCTTTACTGGTGCTTTCTTGCAGTTTCACTGGAAACCATCTTGGCTTTTGACCGATCTTAGAACACAGATCTTTCACCTTTTTATTTGTTTGTGGAGTATATTAATGCTTTACTGTAAAAGCTAAAGGCAAATAGTAGGTGTTTTACCTACTATGTTGAATTGGATATCAATTACCAACTACATGTAATGGTTGTAACTTACGCCTCACCTTTTACAAATGTTCTGGTTAAAAACTTCTAACATAGTACTAAGTTCTGAGGCATGCTTATGACATTCGGTTACAAAACATAACTATTTCTGGTTTGGTTCCGTTTATAAAGGCTTTTGTGTTTCTTCTGATCTTGTTCTTTAGCTACCTGACCATCTCAACCTGCCTTTTCAGTCACCAGTCACATAGGCTTGGCTGTAAGGCAGTCAGACAAGAATGCAAGGTTCTGATAACGGTGGTTCATTTTGTTACTTCCGAGCACTGTAATACCCTCTGCAGCGTGTTTTTTAGAAAAACACTTGACCTCTTTATGAAGTGCTTTGAAGATAGCTTGATTGGAATTGGCCCCCGCCTTTGATAAAACATGAAAAACAGTGCTGTAGCATGAATCCCACTGTCGACTCCAGAACCATTTGACATGTAGGTATGTTAGAACAGGATCCAAAACAACCTGCGCTGCTCAGCAGGTGTGTTTAGATCTGGTCTCCCTGAGGTAGGGGTAAGGTGATCCTGCCTGGGAGCTGCAGCTTAGAATCACTTCCTGGTAAAAAATAGATTTGAATAAAGTTGTGAATGAGCAACCTGGTCTGACTTCACAGCTGATCCTGCTTTAAGCAGGAGGGTTGGACACGGTGACCTCCCAAGTCCCTTCCAGCTTGAATTATTCTGTGATTCTTTTACAATGGAGATGGACACTGACACCAAAATATCTCATGACCTTATGTTAGAACACCATCCCAGGAAGCAGGTTCAGCTCACCTCTGTGTGAAAGAGCGTAAAAACACGTATTTCCTGTTTTCTGTAAGTCCACCTGGTTATGCTTAAAAAAAATGCAGCTAAAATGTCTTTTGGGGAACCAGATTTTGTCAGCATACATACGAAGTGTGCTCACAGACTACAGACCCCTCAGGCCTTTCGGACAGAGTTACGTGTGGTATGTTTTTACATCCGAGAAGGATTCTGAGAAAGCTGTCAAACTGCACCGGTAAAGACTCTGCTGGTATGCCCAGAGGCTCAACTCTTAAGAGCGTGCAAAATTTCACTGTAGAAGTACATGACACCTGTGGAACTTAGCAACCTCTAGCACTAAGTAATTGCTGAGTGGAGATTTACTTACATTTTCACAGTCTAAATTCAACCATTTTGCCTTAATTCCTTCTTTTAATCTACTCTTACAGTAGATTTCACAATAAAACCAACAAAACCGTAAGTCAAAACTGGAATTCCACTTTAATTAAAAACCAAACAAACAGGTTTGTTACACTAGAAGTGTTATTTTTGAAGCCTCAGTCACATAATAGCACCAGTGGGGATAAAAAAATACAACAAGGGCTAATCACCATATTGGTGGAGATCTTGATAGCTTTCTTCAATTGGAATGATCAACAAAGTTAAGGGAAAGCATCAGAGGAAGAGAAACAGACAGGAGGATTTCATTTTTGTCCAGATGGTGAAAAATACATCTTTTGCATAGAATATTCAGCCTTTCCAGAGAGATTTGAGGAATTATTTTGTGTGTTCTTTCAAAGTCAGTTTTTCTTCTTTCAAATATTAGAAATGTATTATGAAATGCAACAATTTGTGTTTTAACATGAATCAACACACAGCTGTTAACATGCATTAAAAGAAAAAAAGAGAAAGCCTTAGGTTCTTGTGCACTACTGCCTTTCTTTTTCATCCAGACTCCTTTAATCTTTGGATTTTTTCCTTTTAAAGGGACGAGTTGGTTGTATGGCTTTTTTAATTTATTTTTTAAAAAATTTTAATTAAATTCTTTTGCCCTTGGGCTGAAAGTGTGCTTTGCCAGATCTCAAAGGTGACAACTCATTCATCTGTGGCTTCTGAGGTAGGGGAGTTATTTCTTTAAATCAGTGTAAGTCACAAAGCTCTGAATGCTCAAAAAATGGTTGTGCAATATTAACACATTTATTTATCCCTTTATTGGTGTACAAATGCAGTTCTTTACTCTCTTGTTCCTTCCATATTAAAAATGTTATGCTGTGTTACAAGGCAATAATTAAAAAATTACGCCATTTGCAGAATAAAGTGCATGAAAATGTGTTTCTTCGTAGAAATTGTGGGCACTTCAAAGAATGATGTGCAGTAGTTCTAACAGTACAAGTTATTTTCAGCTGTATAGCAGTTTTCTGTCCTACCCATTGTCAAGCATATTGTAAACAAAGCACACTAATTCATCAGAAGTACACACTTTAATTTTTTTCCCCTCCTAGATGAGAGTGACATCAGATAAATCTTTGAGACTTGTGCTTTCCACTTTCAAAAATCTACGTGAAGAGCTTTGCCATTTGCAGGATGACTTGGGGGTAAGCCGTATTGTTCAGTTCCCATGGCCTCATCCATTTGTTTTTACCTGTCAGTAAGAAGTCCGTTATGATGAAATTTAAATTGTGAAGTCCAGGTGCTTTAATGGAAACGGCTGGTTTATTAATGGACCTGCAAGACTCGTACAGTGGATGAGGTTGGACTTCTTTCTAGCAGTGGTTTTCAAGTGTTGAATTTGTTGAAGCCTAAAAAACCAAATACTTTCAAAGGAAGAAAAGACCCTGCTGAGTGAAATTACATTTAAAGCTCTGAATTAGTATATACAATGCATATGTATCTACATCGGTGTAAATGCATGGAACTGTGTTTTTACTTTTAACACGGACAAGGAGTATACACCAAGTGCCTATTTACTAAGCGCTGTCCCAGGAATCAGGAGACCTCCCTTCCATTCACTCCTGACAGCGTTGTAGTTCCCGCTTCCTGGGAAAGCTGTTGTCAGCTGGTGGCTTTAACAACTCCAGTGGCTCTCGAGGGTACAGGCAGCCCAGTGCGGAAGCTGGAGCTCTACAGCTACTGATACGGATAATTGCCATTAGGAAAGCAGAAACATCTCCCACACCAGCCCAAGTGCTCAGCACCACTGGAAACTTCACAGCGTTCCCTTGTAAAATGCAAAGTTTAGAGGAGAGGGAGTTTTAACTGTCATTTTTAACACAGAACAAGAAGTCTGTGCAGTGAAGTGGTCTTAGTTTTGGGGTTTTTTTTTGGTTTCTGTTTCGTAACTACAAATAATTGTTTCTGGGACAGACTGAAAGAGCAGTGTCCAGGATCCCAGTGCTTACCACGCAACACAAGGCCACACTACAGTGATGGGCAACTGTGTGCTATGTAGTTAAAAAAAAACCCCATAGTTTCAAGAAAATTGAGTATTTTCTCAGTTCTAAAACATCACTTACTAATTACTCAGGATGTTGCACTTTGAATATGGGAAAAGTTTACTAAAAAATTGCAGCTGTTGACCGAAAATACTTTTGTCTTACAGAAGTTAGAAACTGACAGCGTCTTACTTAAGAAGGATTTGGCTTTTAAAGATTCTCAAGTAAAAGAATATGAAACTATGTTGACTTCTCTGAGAGAGAATAATCGTCAGCAGCAGGTAAATCTAAAAGCGTATTTTCAGGGAAACTGCAGTCAGCCAAAAACCAGCCAGTCTGCTGACTTTTGAGTATTCTGAGTAATTGCTGCCTGGTATAGGTTTATGTATGTGTGTGAACCGTGTTAATTCCTTTCGGAACGCCACGTATTCATTCCACTTCTGTGCTTTCCAGCAAGGACTCAGAGACAGTACTGCAAAATGTCGCTCCCTGGAAGAACAGCTCCTCTCTCTTCGGCTCAGTGAGGGAGAAAAGGATTGTCAGCTAAAGGAACTGGAGTACTGCAAGCGTGCCTTGGAGCAAGAGATCCAGAGCCTTAGACTACAGGTAAGGCTCGCTTGTTCTGTGTTCAATAGCTGTTACTCAGATACAGATGCATTAACGTATGAAAATCAATGATGAAAACTCTCTTTCAAAAATAAAAAAATATTTAATTTTCTGTAGACCTGCTCTAATCCAGCACTACAGACCACCACAGATGAGCTCTCTAGCCGTTACGTAGAGATGATCAATAACTTGAGAGAGGATAAAGATCGTGAGATCCGCAATCTTAGGGTAAGTTGTGTAACTTGGCACGTGTGTATTCCTCATCTTGTAGGACTGCAGGTAAACAGCTTCTTTTTTAATTAAGGAAGAGGAAAGATCTACCATACGTACTTTTTTAGGTATCTTTTGGTTCTGCAGTTTCTTTGTACATAGACACTAATGATGGCTCAGAAACCTTTATGGTAGAACATAAAACTGTGATTTAAAAAAAAATACAATTCCTTAGATACAGAAATTAGGGGTTAATCAGATTAGCAGTCTTTCCTAAAGGGGTATTTTGTGTGTCCTGATAAAGTAAGAAACTAGCCAAAAGACACCCAACAGAAAATAAAGATAAGTCCCAGTCAAAGCTACATACAGGAAACGTGTCTCATTTAAAGCACTGTAGTACTGTTTCACCACCCTGGAAGCCAATTCAACTTCTTCAGTGACGTATTACCTTTATTGAGTTATAAACCTATTAAATTGGACTGAATTCTACCAGTATCAATTAGTACTTTCTGAATTTACTGTGCAGCTCAACATTCTTGCTTGAAAATCATCAGGTTTTGTGTATGTCCATGTATGTTTGTATGTCCATAGTGTTTTTTAAATTACACTAGTTCAAATCTTACTGTTCATAATTTAATGAAAAAAACCATCCGGAGTCCTAGATACATACTGAAGGGTCACTTGCAAGGAGCACCAAACACCTAACTATTCCTTAACATATGTTTTGTAGTCTCAGTTATGCCAATTCCAGCAGGATATATCAAGGAGAGAAGGAAGTAACAGTGACTTGCAAATAAGGTTGCATGAACTGACGTCGATGTTGGAGGAGAAAGATGCTTTTATTAAACAACAGCAAGAGGTAAAATAATACAACTTGCTTCTCTTCTAAGAATTTCTGTATTTAAGCCTCCACTCACTGTGTAGGTGGAAGTCACTTGTGCTCTCCTGGTTCAGGAATCAGGGTTAGGATTTTTTTTAACTGAATGCTGTTCCTCTGCCAGTCTTTTGGAAGGACAGACTTTTTCAGACTGCTCTTTGAGAGGAATTTCTGCAAATATTTTGTTGTGACTTTAGTGAACTAATACTTCAGAAAATGCTATTTCATTTGAATGTTTACTTTTGGTTTTCTCAGGACCTCTTCAGATTGAAGCATGAGAAATTATCAGGCAGTCAGTCCCCTGGTGTAACAGCTATCATCACTAAGAAGTAATGTAGTTATTCACCTTTCTTAAAAATACATCCTTCTGATTTTCCATTGTATAGTTGCTATTAACCAAGTTCTTGCCTCCTGAAAATGTCTTAATACTGCCTGTTCAACTTAAAGGGGAAAAAGTCGAGATAGGTTTTCCTGTTGGGGGAGGATTCAATACTAAGCACTGTAATAGCAATTAATTAGAGGGGTGGCCAGCATGTTCAAGTGACATTTAAAGGACTATATTAGCTTTTTAGTTACTAGTGAAAATCTTTGGGGATTAATGACTGGAAGGACTATGTGGCAAGATCGGCATTAGGTATGCAGATTTCAGTTTACAGGTTTGCAACTCTTTTTAACACAGGTACAGGAACCAGTATCCTATTCTGGGTCTCTTGTCTGATGACTACAAGGTTACATCACCTGTCAATAAATCACAAACCATTGTAATTGAGAGGACTGGAGAAATATGGAAACACGTAAGTTTACCTAGAGATCGACTGTACAGTCTCTGAAATTCCTAAGTATTCAATTTGACTTCAAAGAAAGTATTAGCCAAAATTGACATCTGAGAGAAAGCCATAGTGTTAATTTAACTTGGCTGCAGAAAGCAAAATGACTGATTAAAGTCAAGGAACTGTACGGTCTATTGCAAGAAGGCAGTAATTGCTGGGTGGAGTATAAATAAAATAGCCTTTCATTGTTTTCTCTGAGACATAATTACCTTTAACAAAACAAGTGGCGTTGCTCTAACACCCTCAGGCAGAAGGCAGTCTTCTGGGGGGCATCACGGTACTGGGGAGGGAGGGAGGGACTTCTGTGTTGTGCTCTCAGGTGAAGGAGTGTTTTGGGTGGGCAGTATTCCTCTGAATCATCAGTATTAATGACTCCAAGCTTACTACTAAAACATATTAAGCACCACGTCCCTGAAGCTTACACTGAGACAGGGCAGCGACTAACCCAGGAAATGCAGAAGAGTGGTGACTTTTTAAGGAGTGGTTCAAAGTAAAAATAGAAAACAGGACTGCAGAAGCTATTTATGTTACAGGGCACAAGGTAATGTTGCCAAGCCTGAATACAAGGAAGAGACTTGAGAAAGATCAACACAGCCAGTTCACAGACACGTGTTCTGAACAGTGGGCTCTGATGGAGTTGTCTGCAGACAGAGTATGGCAGAGCAGCACAAATAAACAAGTGTTAAGAGAGTCACTTTGTGGGGGGACACGACCAAGAAAAAGACAATTATGTGAGCAGCCTCAGTAGCTGAAGGGTAAAACATCTGGCATCTTCTAAAAGGCTATGTTACCCCGAGTAGGACTAAGAAAATACAAGGTAGAGGTCACTGGCAAACAGCAGAGTTTTATTACTGATCTCTAAAACTCATCCAGTTGCACTGCAACCTAGTGAAGTGTCAAGGAATTTAACAGTAATAAATTACAAAAATAAAGCCAAAACCCCCTCCCTCCTAGCTTACTTGAAAAGTTAGTCCTACTTTCCATTCTAAAAAATGGAAAAGATGAGCATACTCTGCATTTGACGAGATCAGTATCATTAAATAAATGAGAACTGTTTGTATTTTAAGTTTCCCAAGCTCTCTATCAATCACTAGTGCAAGCTTCAGCTGAAATAAAATTACTTTGCTGCAAGATAAACTTGTTAAGTTTGAGAAGTGCCAATTTCACCTTTATTCCAAGCTTTACAAGTACTTTTTCTGTGTTTATGTACTGTCAGCCAAATCTTTACATCTGCATTCATTATTGAATAGTAATGCTGATAGGTATCTGAATAGTGTGGGTTTTATACTGGAAGTAAGCAGCCTGTACATGATACTGTCTTTCAAGCAACAATTACTTGTCATGGTCAGTCCTTCGGGATACTCAAATGGAAGTATTTAAAAGTTCCTTTAAACACTGATCCTAGTTATATTAGAGAAAACTTTTAGGGTAGAAATTTTGTAATACCTACTATTTAGGTATCTGGTAACTCCCTGTTCTTAGTTGTTTTCGCAAGTACAAAAAAAGCTACTGTCCTTGTTTTTGTGTTTACTGGAGACAGTGAATTGTGCCAGTTCTGACATCTGCCCCTGGCTGAATAAAACTGTTCACTTAATGATACGACTTTGACCTTGCCAGCACTGACATGCTGAGTGTTTGTTAAGGAGGGAAAGGCTCACTGGCCACTTGAGACACTTCAAAAGTCAGGCTGTTAGAGAAAATAAATCTGTAATTAAATGAGGCATGCTTTATGTACCAGAGAGTTTTGTTTTATATACAGAAATAAGTTTGTGTATTTTCTTCTAACAAGCTGCTTGTTTCTTTCAGGAATAAAGAAATCCCTAAACCATCAGAGCTGTTCAAAGGAGTTCACGATGGCTAAAACTGCTTTACTTTATGCTATTTTACATCCAAAACAGGTTCAGTCTGATAGTGAGAAAGGCTGGGAAACAGGGAACACATTAAGGACATGGAAGCGTGAAGATGATGAAAAGCACTGTCTCATCCTCACCATAAAGAACTCGGTTACCTGTGTCCATAATCTGCCACTAACACCTGTGCACAAATGTTACTTGTACTTTTTCATGCACTTACTTACTTTTTGCTCAGAAGAGAGCGGTGTGCCATGCTTTTGTGGACTTCAGTTGTTCTTGACATGACTAACCTCTATTCTTCGGCCAGTCCTGAACCAACTAAGAGACAAGGGAAGAAGTCTCAAACCTTTTCCTCTTTGTACTATTAGCCGTATTCTTCTGTCCTGTTCCTCATGCTGAGAAGTGAGAACGATACAAATTTCAGTCCCACAGATACTGAATGGCTGGTTTCAATACAGAGAGATTCACAGATTTCATCTACTGCTGAAGCAAACCCCAGAAACAACCTTCACGGGGAACTTTAAAAATACCTCACTGAAAAACACTTGCCCTACATCTGCCTATGTATGGGAAGCTAAAACACAAAGGAAAATGACTTAATTACCCCAGATACACAACTCCTCAAACTTAGCTACTGAACTGGCAAATACCAGAGTTACCTAGTTCAGTGAAATGATTGGGCGAATGCTGATTTTAAAGAATGTTATTGACCTCAGAGTTGATGTATTTTCAGCTGAATCTTTGTAAGCCCCCAAACCAGCCATAAGTATTTATTTGCTGTGCTTGAAAATTTCAGTAACTTGGTATGAAAGTAGCTGATAGACTAAATTTCGTTATCAGACCAACCTTCCAGTTACAATTCTTGCTCCTTGCAGGACCACAGAGATTCTCTCATAATGATTTGGTATTAATAAGTTAGTTGTCCAAGCAACACAGTGCAGAGAATCGTAAGGGAAGTTTTAAACTATGCAGTCAAAAGGTGCTAGCTCTTTATCATGGGGTTCTTGCTTTGCTTTATTTCTGCAGACATTTATTTCTATTTACAAATAATATATATCGTAGACAATGTTTAATGGTGAAAGAACACTGTAGGCTATGTGTAACTATGAAATAAACCTAAGTGTAACTTTCTGAATCATGTCTGTCTGTACTGGAAACATCTCGTGTCTACGTGACAGGCTGGAGGGGGTTCTTTAGGTGGTGTGATACTGCCTTTTTTTAGAAAACGTGTTCCTCTAAATGAATTGTTACAAGGAAAGGAACAGTGTTAGGTCCCTTTTCTTGCTACTGATGCCAGTCCCCGACTCAGTTAATGGTGGGATGTCAAAGATGACCTCATGTTCTTCCTAATGGGGAGAAAGAGCCGAGGGTAAAACCTGCTTATTGCACTGCTTTTTGAGCCTAAGACCGGCCTGCAGTTTCAGAAGCAAGTAAGAGTATGCACCATCAACCAACCATCCCTTTATCTTTCTATAAAAAATAGGTTTTAATTAGTTAAAAATTAAATATCCTCGTTTGAATGAGGAGTGCCTCACCCCACTGGAATCAATAATTACTACATTCTAAAATAATCCCCTCATCTCTGTATAGCAGTTAGATATAACGTACATATACACGCAGAGTTAACATACTAATGACACAGAATAATGTCAAAGTGTATCCTATCCCATCCCAATAAACAACTTTAGTTACACTGTCATCTAATGACTTTGCACCTTTGGTGACCTAAATGATAAATAGAAGAGGAAGAACACCCCAATTGTTTAATGCCGTCACACTGTTATCTGTGCATAACTGTGCGGTTATCCCGACTGAAGGAGACACAAAATGATTTGCTGACTTACCGTGGTCTTTGCCATGACCTCAGCTGGGCTTGACTAGTTGGAAGCGTTACACAAACAGCTTGGAAAAGCTATGAAGAGCAGAAACGTGAGTTACTAATGGACATACTTACTGTGCACTCATTTCAGCCACTGCAAGGGTTGTACAGTGTATTTACTAACCCTTCCATCCAGTGACACTAACCAATGTTTCTTTAACTCTGTATGACTTATTTAAGACCATGTAACAGCATAACGCAAGCAGTAAACGCCCTTAAAAGACAGAAACATGCAGGGTCTGAACACAGAGCTGTTGGGCATGGTGGTGTAATTTAATGACAAAGGCCATGATAAGGCATATCATCTGTCTTGCATGCACAGCTGCATTATGATAAATTTGAAAACACTGTGATTGTTCCCCATACTGGAAGAGACGGGTAACATACATACTATTTTAAAAAAAGCCCAGTTTGCTAATCAGGAAAGACAGATGACAGTACTGTATTGCGTAGCAAGGATCAGCTTCTCTAAGGCTTGTTGAGAGTATTTTAAGACTTCTGCACACTCTAAACGCCACAGAGCTGATGGTCGTTAACACCACATGTTACTCACAGATAACGCGAAGCAATAGATACTTGTCAAAAAGCTGAATTAGACTAGTAGATGAAGCATAATGCCCATTTGGGGCTGGTTTTTCAGACCAGATGTATTTAAAAAGCAAATTTAGTTTTTTTTTTAATAGAAGTACATGTTATTTGCTGTAGTGCCAGCTGTTGCCTCTTTTCTGTTGAACTGAAACTGATTTACCTAACATTATTTCTGCTGGAGTTTACAGAAACACATTTTTCTCATTTACTCATCTCTGTAGATGCTAGTTATCACCCTAATTATAAACAGTATACTTTAAATAATTTTTCTGTTTAGACTTATTAGACTGTCTTTATCAATAGTGTTATTGAATAAACCCTCACTGCCTGAACAGATTTGACAGCATGCAGAGTTTCTTGTTCTTACACTGAAGAGCAGGAGAAAATTGTCTTCTGGTTTTTATGACTGACTTTTCCACACAACTCAGTGTGCAACATGGAACAGTTTCTCTGCCTCAGCTGTAAAATAAAAGCCAAATGGAGCCCTGGTTCAAAAGTTACTGACACCTCTACCATTCTGTCTGAAGAGTCGACATAGACTGACTACTACGTCAAGGTAACTTACCTTTACCTTGAGAGTACTCTGCTGGTGTTCTTCCGTATTTTCTCTCTCAATCTCATTACCTTTAATTGTGGGCATTTGAAACCTGAAGAAAGAAAAATACAGATGATGATCAAGACATGAATCACTTTTAACTGCTCCTGGCTTTTAGGAGTTCTTAGTCTGTCATTCAAATAAAAAAAAGCAGTAACAAATCTGACATCATAGAGCAACCCTTCCACGTTTGTGAAACTCGCTGCTTGCTCAAGCAACCATGATGTGTTTGTACATCACATACAGCACCACAGGAGCAGGCAGAGGAGAAACCCAAACACGGTCGACAGCTGAACCACCTGAATGTTGTGCTCCCAGGTAGTGAACAGCTTTACAGCACAAGTCACCTTTCCTGCTCCTGGTATTGTGGAGCGGCATCCCATCACAAATGCTGGGAAAGGTAATTCGCCCTGTAAGTGTTGCTGCAGGGACAGATTTGCAATAATCTGACAAGCAAGGACTGTTTTCCACAAAACAGCTCAAAGCCCTTACTGAAAATGTGGCGAAAGGCAAGACATACATAAACTTCACTACGGAAAGTATGAAAGATGATCATGTCTACTAAGGAGTACCGTTAAAGAACAGGGATCATGCAACTTCACAACAACGATGGGAGACATCATTCAGTTTTCAGGACAAGTAATAAAATACGACACCACCAACTTCTATCATTCAATTCAACATTTAAGTCAAAACACTTGCAAGGCTTACAGGTGGTAGTGTATCTCTTTCACTTGTTCCTACCACCACTTAGGAACTCATCTGCTTTGAAAATGAATAAGCAGGACCTGCCTGTAGAGCACTTCATCCCATCCTAAAGGCTTCATCAGTTTGGGTAACAGAAGGCGGTTTGCTGCCAGCTCAGGGGAGGGAGCCAGGCAGGGCAGAAGTACAGGCTACACAGAGCAGGGATCTGTGGAAGTACTGAGATAACAAGTTTTACTGTGATTTGACGTGGCGCATTTTTAAATTCATGACAGCTCCATGGTAACAATACAACACCATCACAAATTCTCTTAAATATTTACTGGGAAAGCGCACTGAAAAGAATCTAGGAACTGTGCCTCAAACTGCTGAGGATTCAGGTGAAATTTTATTCTTATATTTAAGAAGATTTAAAATGCCACTTCCTAATAAAATCTTCTGTCAAGAATACCAACCACTTGCTTTAATACTGAATTTCAGTTACGGGGGAAACACGGTTGTAGGAAAAAAAAGAGGAAAAAAGGGTTCTACCTGAGTCTTATCTTCTGATGGATGAATACATGCACAAGATATACATAAGAAGATTCTAAAGTACTCAAACAACATACACAAAGTAAGAGCACTGCATACAACACCACTTCCTCTCAGATTTCTCTTTGTCTAGGAGGCACATTCCTTTATTTTCCCTTCCCTAAACCCAACTTCTACGTCATTTCCTCCACAGCCCCAATGTCACACCTGCAATACATTGCACAGGCCTTTTCTTGCCGATTCCCTCCTCCTTCCATCCATCACAGTATTACTTTTTTTTTTTAAACCACCAGAGCCCTCCTAACATCTTCAACCCCCTCCTTTGCCTATTCACCATCCAGCTTGGACAGTTACAAGAAGCTTCGACATCCGCCGCTATACAGAAAGACGTCAATTCTGGAAGAAGGAGCATCGGTGGGAATTTCAAATGAACAATACGTAAGTCCAGCCTCAGTCATAAACGTCTAAGCAGCACTGGACAGAACCAGCAAAGGGCCAAGTAGAAGCACACACTCCCAGCAGTATCATAAGCTACTGAATTTTAAAACCGCTACTCAAGCAAAAAGTGTGACAAACTGATTTTTTTAAACTGTTTGAAATATAACAACACATGGGTAGTAATCCATTAACCTTAGTACTGTGTGGGTTAAGTCTCAAGGCTTTTCCTCCTTTGACAGACCTTGTTTCCACAGTCTTTCTTCCTAGCTAGGTTTCATTGTCCATACGCTGCCAAGAGAGGAAGAGACAAACAATTAATATAAAGAAACATTCAAAATGCTAACGCAATAAGCCAACCAAAGGAAAGTGGTAACTCATTTTGAGACTGCACATTGGACAAGGCTTCCTGCAACCATCCTGCTAAGTTTAACAACTCAGTTTCTCGACCTAGCCATCACGAAGAGCAGGGCTCACACGCAGAAGATTGTGCTTAGTCTGCACCTCCTTCAAGTCCTGCACACTTTCCCCGTGTATGTACCTTAACTTAAC